AGTGTGGTTGCAAAAGAAGCAGGCGGATGCACCAGAGCCCAGCGAAAATAGAGAGCAGCGGTAGCGGCAGCTGGAGGAGGTACTAGGGTGGAACCAAGGCTAGACAAGGCAAGAGGTCCTACGCTTGACGCAGCAGGGGAGCCTAGACTATACACAGTGGACACACCTACACTAGGTAACACATGGTAATAAGGTCCAGTCACGCTATAGTCATCAGCATACATGGCATACAAGGCAAAGCGAATCTGATCCATATACATTTCAAAGACCGGCACACAGCGACGCACCTGGCTGTGCCAGTCGGGGAGGTCCAGCGCGGGTCCGAATCGGAGATGGAAGAGGTCGTCGAGGCGGAGATAGTATCGAGTGGCAGTGTAACCAGGACGGTCATACACGGTGCCGTGACAGGAGCCGGTCTGAAGCTGGTAATGGCAAGTCACCGCATTGGAACCGCCACCTGACGCTGAGCTGCGCGAGTCGCCACCGCGGCCACCACCACCAAAATGGCTAGGCCACCACGACGGCGGGGGTCTCCACGGCTGCTGCTGCTGCTGCTGCTGCGGTTGTTGTTGTTGCTGCTGCTGTTCCTGCTGCTGCATTGGGGCATCAGCCCCGGTCACCTAGTCTGCACCACCGGCTCTCGTATCACCGCCGCCACCCCTGCCACCCCTTCCACCCCTACCTCCCCCACGCCCCCCCCTAGGGCGGCGGCCCTTACCCTGATGAGACTGCGCTGAGGCCGCTGCGGCGGTCTCAGCAGCAGGGGATGTCTTAGCAACAACGGCACAGCGGCATGGCGAGCTGGGGTGGCGCTCGTCGGCAAACAGAGGCCGGCGGCAGGGAGGGAGCCGGAGGCGGACCGCCAAGCCGGGGCAGACGAGACGGGACCGGCGCGAGCTGGGACCGGCAAGTTGGGGCCGGTGCGAACTGGTGTCGGCGAGCTAGGTCTAGCGAGCTGGGGCCGGCACGAGGTGGAGCTGGCGAGCTAGGGCCGGCGAGGGAACCGGGGCCGGCGAGCGAGCTAGAGGCGGCAAACGAGCTAGGGCCGGCGAGCTGGGGCCGGCGAGCTGGGGCCGGCGAGCTGGGCCGGTGACCTAGGGGGCCAGGCGGCAAGGAAAGTGGCTCGAGCGGCGCACGAAGGGCTTTCGGCGAGTTGGGGGGCAGCAGCGAGCTAGGGGCTAGCGGCGAGCTAGGGGCCAGTGGAGACTTAGGGGGCCACGCGGCGGAGAAAGGGGCCTAGCGCAGCGCGCGAAGGGCCAGCGGCAGGCTAGGGGGCAGCGGCGAGCTAGGGACTAGGGCGGAAACGCGGGGCCATGGCTAGCAGGGGCTATTGCGACGAGACAGGGCCACACGGTGAGCCGAGGCCATCGCGGCAGGCTAGGGCGGCGCGGCAAGACTAGGGCAGAGTGGTGGGACGGAGCCAGCGCGGTGTGACGGGGCCAACGCGGCGTGACAGGGCCAGCACGGCGGTCTAGGGCAGCGCAGCAAGGCGGACTAGGGCGGCGCGGCGTGGCAGACTAGGGCGGCGCGGCAGGGCGGGCTAGGTCGGGGTAGGCTACGGTGGGCTAGAGCAGAAGCGCGGGTGGGTGGGACCTACCTAGCTTTATACCATCTCAGAGTAGCAAAGTGAGCTAAGCAAGGGCCTCGGGGTGTTATATGAGTTGTGGGTTGTACTCCCTAAGAGCACGTACCTATCTAGCCTATAACTAGACATATATTACAAATGTATAAGTTGACACCCTGAGTCCTTTACTCAACTAATAGGGCTTATGTTCATTATTTCATTATAAGCCCCTCCCCCTTTGGAGAGCACTTCATCATTTAAGCCCCTAGGAGTGTACAAGTCGTGTTTTTAATACCGAGAGATCAGATAGTTTTTGTCAAGTGCCTTTGCCCTCATTCCGCGAGAATCTGCTCTCAGACAGCTCCGAGCGTGTTTCTGCCGTATGAGCGCACACTGTTAGAGTAGCGGGAAAAAGTGTGACTAGGAAGAGGGGAGTGGAGATAAAAGTACATGAATATTGTCCCCTCTAAGAACCGACCTAGCCAGGCTATAAGGAACATATCTAAATTAACTAGATATGCGTAGACTTAACAATATTTTTGTTGACACACCCCTTAGCCTAGGTAGAGGCAGTTTAACAAACCAGGGCAGCACTACTAATCTGACCTCTAGTGAAGGTAACAAGACAACTCAGGGCAGCACTACTGCCGTAAACACCCGGATATACAGTGGCGGAAACAATTGTCCGTATGTTTTGCAATAATTTGGGTTTTTAGGTTTTAGGACCACTATACCTGAATCCTTAATGTTTAATGGTGGTACGATTTGGGAGGGGCACATAGTGGATGTGTTCATAGCACAAATATCCAGAATAGTACATTGGATCTAACTCATATCCCAAAAGATATACAAAGGGTACATACGGACAAATATTTCCAAGCAGAGAGAGCAAAATTCAAAAGTGTGTTTCTAGTTCCTAGCCCACCAACCTTTGGCCTTGATCACCGCCCGCATCCTCCTAGGTGAGCTGTCGATGAGGCTAGAGCAAACCTCAGCATGAATCTTCTGCCATTCTTCCTGGACCAGCTCTTAAATCTCCAACATTCCAGAGGAAGGCCTTTTATGCTTGGCTAGCTCCCTTTTCAGGTAAGCCTGGAGGTTGAGGTTTGATGAGAAAGAATGCCACTCTAGGGCTACATACTCATGTTCTCCAAGTCATTCGTGCACTAGGCATAACAAATTATTGGGGTCATTGTCCGCATCGAGATGGCCTAAGAGGGGAAAATGCTGTAAAAATGGAGGGTCAATTGGAGTTCGTCATGCAGAATGCCCTCATTCATGGGCCTCTCCATGTGTCCGTCAATCTTGCGTATGAACCCCACCTCCGCACATGCCACACATCCCCACACCATCACTGATCCTTGTTCCCATGGTTTACCGTCTGTTTGATTTGGTGGTGTTGCAGGGTTGTGCCTTCACGAATCCGAGCAAACGCGCGGCCATTGGAGTTGAAGCAGTTGATGTTGGTCACATTTGACCAGATCACATGCTTTCGCACACCAATTGTCCACTCAGCATGCGACTCGATGAATTGCAGCCGGCTCTTGATATTTTTTTCCAGATTAGTCATGGCTTCTATGACTGCTGCACCGTAACTAGACCCGCAGACCCCAGTGTGTTTTTGTTGATGCAAGGGTGCACAGTCAACCGCGCAACGTTACCCTCAGTTCCGCGGTATCTACGCTAGATCTTGCCGCTCTATTAGTGATTTTACCCTACAATGGTACGACGAAGACGATCCGTGATAAGATGGGCCTGACCGGCTAATTGCATCTTTGGCCACACCTCAGCATGACTAGTCTCAAAATTACCATTCAATCCAAAATCGACCACAATACTCTTGCCTACGCCCAACCTTTTCACGATTTTCCTAGTGCTCACCCCCTTATGCAAGAAGTTCCCTGTCGATGTTTGTACTAACCTCGTATATAACATGCCTAGGAGGGTGCGGGTGGTGATCAAGGCCAAAGGTAGGTGGGCTATGTACAAAAAACGGAGTTTTGAAGTTCGCTATCTCTGCTTGGAAATATTTGTCCGGATGTACCCTTTGTATATCTTTTGAGATATGAGTTAGATCCAATGTACTATTCTGGATATTTCTGCTATGAACACATCCACTATGTGCCCCTCCCAAATTGTACCACCATTAACCATTAAGACGTAATGTATAGTGGTCTTAAAGCATAAAAAAATCAAATTTGTGCAAAACATACGTACAATTGTTTTCGCCACTGTATGACTCTAGGGGATATCTTTGTATACAAGCTAAAAAGGGGGGTGAGTCTTTTAAGGAAACCTCAAAATGAATTACCTGGGTGATATCTCGTACACATATAGAATTCAGATTTCTTCATGTAGTTTGGTTACTTATTTACATTCCCAACTCATTGCCGAGTACTTAGGCCCACTCTCGCTCTTTTGTGCGCAAAAATCAAGCTGTCGCGACACGTTGGAATCTGATTCGTTCAAATGAGCATTTGATATGGCGGAAAAACCCTTCGGAAACAGATTGGAAGCGATTCGATTCGTCAAAGTATCGATCGACGGTCCGGATTTTGTCTCCAGATTCAACACCATGAGAAAAGTGTTGACTTCGTCTCGATTAGACAGAAATTTGGCATTTGGCGAATTTCCACCCCATCCCTTGCTTCTGGGAGCGTTCAATTCCTCGCTTCTCACCTTTCACAATGTTTTCAGGTCCCCCCTTCGCGCTACTCTTTCCCCGCAGCCTCCTTTCTATTTCCTTCTTGCTCGGTTCCCGCCGTACTTCACATTTGCTGCGGAAATCACGGGAAAAAAATACGAAGAGGGTCTAAAGCTGGCTACACTGAAAAGGGGTAGGATCTTGTTAGTCGATAAATGGTTCCTAAAAAAAGCTGGTCTTATATCCGGGTATTTATGGTAGTCTAACCGCTGCGACAAGGGGCTTCAGCAGGTGTAGCAAGACATGCAGGCATAGAAATAGCAAGTACACGCCGGTATAGTAGATACCAAGATACAAGGACAGGCGTTGCTACTGGGACTAGATCAACGTGAGTACAGAACCGCTGATGGTCACAAGGGGATAGTGCCTTGGTGAAGATATCAGCGGTGTTGGCCTCTGTGGCCCCGTGTACTACTCGAGCCTGGCCGCGCTGCTGCAACTCACGCGGCTAGATGTGCTTTGCCCTGCCCTCAAGTCGATCCCCGCCTGACACGGGAGGATCATGGCCCTGTTGTCAGCAAATAGGGTCAGGGCAGACCTAGGCTACTCACCTAAGTCTGTGAGCAAGAACGTCAGCCAGCGGAGCTCATGAGAGGCCATAGCTCCGGCATAGATCTCTGCCTCACAACTGGACTGAGCTACAGACCATGACCTAGTGGACCTCCACGAGACTGCACCAGCACCAAGACTAAAACAGTAGCCCTGAGACGACCTGAACGAATCCACGTCGTCAGCCCATGACGCGTCTGTGTATCCAGTAAGCACCACGGGCTCCCGTTCTCCTAGCACAAGCCCCAGTTCTGATGTATTCGCCGGATACCGCAATAACCTCTTGGCAGCCAACTAGTGAACTGGTCGGTGCCTGGGTGTCACAACAAAGCGAGCCAGAAGACTAAGAGGGTACGCTAGATCTGGTCGAGTTCAGGTCATCAGGTACATGAGCCACCCCACCAGGTCTGCGTATGGACCATTAGATTCGACCGGCTCAGCCGGAACAGGAGCAGAGATCTTGTGATCCACAGGCAGAGGGGTGCGTTGTGTTGATGAGAAATTAAGACTGAACCTCTGGAGGATCTGCTGCACCATATGGGACTGGGAGAGTGTCATCGTGCGAGCAGCACGGTCATGAGAGATCTCCAAGCCCAGATAGCGCCTCAGCTTTCCCAGTTTGTACAAGTGTGTCTCCTAAGTAGATCGGCCTTCACTAAGGCTTGTGCGACTCTCTCAGTAGTAGCAAAGATAAGATCGTCTACGTAAAACTGCCAGACAGAGGCGTCAAGCGAAAACCCCAGGAAGACACAACGAAGGGTGCAAGAAACGGGACTCGCCAGTGATTGCGGATCTAGCTGGCGAAAATAAAAAGATCCGGAAGCGGCAGCGGGATTCCGAGAAAATCAACTTTGACGAAGCTGATTCGACGCGAGAAGGAGGAAATGATGGGGGAAAATCTCCACCCCACGACCAGTCTTCGCCAGGGAAAATCGCCGAGGAAAAATATGACTCCGCGAAAAAAGACTCTGCCGAGACAAGGAAACTCCTTGAAGACCCAAGAAATTATAAGGATTCGTTAAAGTTATCTTACAAAGATGCTTTAATGAAAACTTATGATTTTCGAGGAGCTAGAGCCTTGGAGAAATTTCGGGAGGGACTCCAAAAGAAGCAGACAACTGTGGAGATTATACCGGTACCGGACAACTTGGGGACCAAATTAAGGAGTGTGGAAAGAAGCCGACCTTTCCACGGAGTCAACGTCCTCTCCCGACACCAGCCCACAACGACCACCCGTTCCCCAGGGAAGACGTCGATGGAGCTGAAGCCGCTCAAGAGGAAGCTGGGGGTCTACCAGAAGCTGCACAAACCCCGAATTCCTTCTCCTACGGATGCATCCAGTTCTTCGGCATCTATGACGCGCACAGTCGTCAAGGAAACTCCGGGCCCTAGAGAAGAGCCGTTCTCCAAGCAGCCTCGGCCAGCTGCCAGCTCAGGAGTAGATAGCAACACAAAGGTGTGTACGGAATATTGGGATGTACCCTATGACCCAATCAATGAGACTATCTTTGGGTACTCCGAGCAACGCCTGCCCCTCGTGCTCGAGGTCATCTGCAAAGGACGACGCCTCCAAGCACTCGTGGACAGCGGAGCATCACACACCGTCTGCAACAAAGCAGTAATCGACCGACTTCGGGAAGAGTACAAGCTATCAGGATTCTCTGCAACGATGGTGGACGGCAGCAAGTTACCAGTATACGGCGAAGCAGTGCTACACCTACAAATCGGGCCACTGCGCTGGAGACCTGCTCTCCCCATCACCAACATAAAAGGGCTTGACCTGATCTTCGCGCGAGACTTCCTGAAAAAATTCAACCCCGAGATCAACTGGGTGAACCGCACCGCAAGCATCTACAACAATGGACGGAGAGTACAACTACCCAACTGGGACGATACAGGAGATATCCCAGTGGAGACACTCGCCAGATTCGAGAAGGACGTGAAGCGAACCAACACCGGGTTCCTGGCGATAGCAACAGAGGTGGAGAACGACGGAGAGAAATCCTCGGAACCTCCAGAAAAAATCAAGGACTTACTGAAGGAGTTCCAAGACATTCTTCCCGACGACCTCCCGGACGAGCTACCGCCATTCCGAACGCACCAACACGAGATCGTGGAGGAACCAGGTTCGAAACCGACCTTCCGAGCACCATATCAGCTAAGCCCCACAGAACTAGTGGATATGAAGAAGCAGATCAAGTATCTCTTCGCCAAAGGACTCATCCGACCATCCACTTCGCCATACGGTGCCCCAGTACTCTTCACACCGAAACCGGACGGAAGCCTGCGCATGTGCATCGACTACCGAGCTCTCAACAAGCAGACCATCAAGAATAAATATCCGATACCGCGAATCGATGACCTGCTTGACCAGTTTCGGGGAGCTACGGTATTTTCCAAACTGGATCTGCGGTCGGGATACTGGCAGATACGGATGGCGGATAACTCTATCCACAAAACAGCTTTCCGAACTCGGTACGGATCGTACGAGTATTTGGTAATGCCGCTCGGACTCACCAATGCACCGGCAACGTTTCAAGCTGAAATGAACCACATTCTACGACCACTTTTGGACGAGTGTGTGGTGGTGTACCTGGACGACATCCTCATCTACTCGCGTGACATGAAGCAGCACATCGAGCACCTACGACGCGTCTTCGAAATTCTTCGACGAGAACGGTTCTACGTCAAACTGTCCAAGAGCGAATTCGCCCTTGAGAAGGTCCAATTCCTAGGACACCTGGTGAGCGCTCAAGGAGTTCACGTCGACCCCAAGAAAATCGAAGCCATACGTACGTGGTAGACACCCGAGAACGTGAAGGAGTTGCAGCAGTTCCTAGGCTTCGCTAATTATTACAACAGGTTCGTGCCACAATATGCGAAACTTGCAGCACCCCTCACGAATCTGCTGAAGAAAAACACGCCCTATAAATGGGAACCAAAGCACCAGGAAGCCGTGGAGCAGCTGAAACAAGCACTCACGTCCGCACCGGTACTCATCTTGCCAGATCCCGAACGCGACTACGTAATCGAAGCTGACGCCAGCGACCAGGCAGTGGGAGCAGTCTTGATGCAAGACCAGGGGAATGGACTGCAACCAATCGCCTACCTCAGCAACAAACTACATGGAGCAGAACTAAACTACCCGATACACGACAAAGAGGCCCTTGCAATCGTCATCGCCTTCAAAGCGTGGAGATGTTATCTCGAAGGACGAAGAACAACCGTCTACACTGACCACTGCAGCCTGAAATACTTGAAGACACAACCCAACCTTTCCAGGCAGCAGGTCCGGTGGATCGACTTCCTCGAGACACACTTCCACTACGACATCGTGTACAAGCCAGGCCACAAAAACAAAGCAGACGCTCTTAGCCGGCCTGCACACGTTGCCGCCATTCAGATTGAAGGGATGAATCCACTACTCAAAGGACTCTTCACACACGGGTACGCCATCGACCCCGAAATCTCCTTGGCGGAAAAGCGACATTTGCTACAGTGGGACAGTGACATCGCATACCGGAAAGGATCAACGAAAATTTGGGTACCCAATTACCCTCCTTTGCGCCAGCTATTACTCGAAGAATACCACGACGTCCTATATGCCGGACACTTCGGTAGCAACAAGACGCTCACCGGTATCGCCAAACACTACTACTGGCCCCACATGGCAGATGACGTACAGGCCAGGGGCGTACCTACACCAGTGGGCAGAAGTGACGGCGGTAGAGGTCGTCCAGGCGGCGGAAGCAGCGAGCGACGGTGTGCCCCACGCGCTTGCCGCTCCGGCCCGCATGCAGGCCAGTCATCAGCTGGTATGTGCAGGTCACTGCGCCTCCAAAACCACCAGCTCCCTGACTCACAGAAGAGCCACACGACCCCCAAGGCACCGAGTGTCCTCGACTCCAACCCCCACGGCCTCCACCACGACCACCACCCCCAGGGCCCACCAGCCCCCATGACAGCTGCGGCTGCTGCAACTGCTGCTGCTGCTGCTCAGTCCCCAACTCCGACTGACCACCCTCTCAGTCCGTCCGTACCTGCACCCTCTCCATCTGCTGCTACTGACCCCCCACGATTCTTAGCCCCCTTGCCCTTGCCTTTGCCGCCAGAGGAGTGGCTGGGGGCAGAGGCAACCGCTGCAGTCTCGGCTATAGAGGCGGAGGCAAGAGGGATATTTTATCGGGGACGGAGCGCTGCCCTAAAAGATAAGGACTGCCGGAGTGCCAGTGGAACCAGCGATGGCGTGGAGGCGGTCCTCTACCTCAGTCAGGGCGGTAGAGAAGAGATCAAGGGTGAGCTTAGAGGAGTGACGAGCGAGGAGCGCATCGCGGGCAGGGGCAAGGCGGTTATGGAGGCGGGTGATAAGGAAGTAGATAGTGGCAAAGAGGGGGGGCGGGGCGAGCGCTAGCTGGGCCTCTGTGCTGGCCACACGCCAGCGGGCCTCGAGGGAGCGCAGATGCTTGACTAAGTCTGCTATAGTGGTGAGGGATGTCAGGTTGGGGTGGAAGAAAGGGAGGAGGAGGCGACAAAGTGTGCCAGACGACGAGGTGGAGTACCTAGTGAGGGTAGCCAGCCAGAGGGTAGCCCCATGCGGCCCTCCCCCCCCCTAGCATCCTCTCCGTTTCGTATGCCAGCCAGCCAGCCAGCGCGCTCGCCAGCCAGTTTGCCAGCTAGCAAGCTAGCACGTCAGCCAGCGCGTCAGTCAGAACGCCAGCCAGCTTGGTAGCCAACGCGCCAGCCAGCTCGTAGGCACGTCAGCCAGCTCTCCGCTGGCTCGCCAGCCAACAGCCGCCAGCCAGCTCGCTGCTGGCTCGTCAACCAGCAGCCACCAGCCAGCCGCTAGCCGATGCCGCCCGCCAGCTCGCCATTGGCTTGCCACCTAGCAGCCGCCAGCAGATGCCAGCAAGCGGCCGCATGCCCTGCCGCCATCTGCCGCTCGCTGCAGCCCGCTGCCGCCCACTGCTGCCCGCTGCAGCCCCTACATCTGCAGCCCCTGCTGCCCCCGCTGCCACTGCAGCCGTCGCTGCCACAGCTGCTGCCGCTGCAACTACCCCTGCAGCCACTGCCGCCGCTGCAACCACTCCTACTGCAGCCGCCGCTCCTGCCACTACCTCCTCAGCTGCCACTGCTACCGCTCCTACCACTGCCGCTGCTACTGCCACTGCCGCCGCTGCTACTGCCGCTGCCGCTGCCGCCGCCCCTGCTACTACCGCCGCTGCCGCTCCTGTCGCCACTAGCACCAGCTGCCAACATTCGGCCACTCGCCGCCAGCACCAGCCGCTAGCAGCCGACGGCCGGCTCCAGCTGCCACCATCGACCAGCCACTGACCCCCAGCCGTCAGCCGCCAGCTGCCACTACTCGCGGCCAGCCGCCGACCACCTGCCGCCAGCTGCATTCGGTCGCCAACCGCGAGTCGCCAGTCGGCCACCAGCATCGTGAGTCCCCACGTGCCCTATGGACTGTCATTCGTCCTGTGCTACCACACCTAGTGAATCCTAGCTTGCTCCTCAGCGTGCTGCTCCTAGTAGCTCCTCTCGCGTGAACTTCCTCTTTGTTTGCTCCCCACTCCTCCTAGCTGCTCCTAGCCTACCACCCAGTAGCTCACTAGCCGCTGTCCACTAGCAGTCACCTACCTGCCGCCAGCTAGTCGCTAGCAGCGCATGCCAGCTCGCCACCGGCAGCGCGTGTCAGCTCGCTGCCAGAAGCGCCTGCCAGCTCGCCGCCAGCACAGCCTGCTCGGATACCTGCCAGCTCTCCCACCTGCCAGCTCGCCGCTAGCAGCCTCTGCCCGCTGCTGCCAGCTTGCCAGCTCGCTCCCAGCTTGCCGCCTCTTGCTATCAGCGTGGCGCAAGCTAGCTATCACTGCCAGGCCACCGCTTTGGCCACAACCACCACTGCTGCTACCTCTGTTAGTGCTCCTGGAGCCCTAGCGCCTCCCACTAGTCTCCTCCTTGTTTCTAGCGTTCCTTGACGCCTTTCCTCTCGCCATGATGGCCTCGTTAGGGTCAGTCCCTCGGGAGGGTCACCGTTCTTTCTCTGCTCCACTGTCCCTCCTACGGCAACCCTCTCCTTCATACTCAACTCGGCCGCGTCTCGTTGCTTCTTCCGAAACAGTACTGCTCTCACCCCGCTTCCTGCACCTTTCCAAATCTCCCTAGTAGACTCCCCCTACCACAGTAGTCACACGCAGCACCACCACTCTCCCTTGTCCAGTTATCCCGTTTGGCTCCCTCACAGGTTTGCACATCCCTACATCTGCTAGGAACCTAGTTGGTGCCAGTCCCCTTCAGGACCGAGGAGTCACCACCACGTTTTCTGGCTAAGCGAGGCACGCAGTCTGTATGGACATAGCCATGGGGAGACGTCTAGCCACTTTTTAGCGTGACCCAGCGTTAGGTCTCGTCACCCGATGCACAGAGTCCCCACCAGTTGTTGCGTCTGCTGAGGTGCCCGCGTCGTGCTCCTGTCGCTCCCTCACCCACCCGACCCTTATGTGGCAACACCGCTTAGGTCACCCTACATTCCTGTCTCCTAGGCATATGTCTCAGCATAGTCTAGTTACTAGTCTCCCTGCATCGCTCCCAGCCCTACTTGCGTCGGTAGTGCCACTGTGCACCTCCTGCGTCGAGGGCCGGCAGTGTGCCGCCCCCCAATCCTCCTCGTTTCCTCCTATCACAACGCCACTACAAACATTGCATATGGACGTCTTGGGCCCTGCCTCGATCCATGGTCTTAGCCGGGCGTGCTACCTCATAGTCGTCGTTGACGACTTCTCGCGCTACACCATCGTGTTCCTGCTGGAGCTGAAGGCCGACGTGCCTACCGTTCTCCTACCGTGGCTGCTTGCCGCTCGCACCCAATACAGCCGGCTGCTTTTCTAAGACTAAATACAGCCTCGTCATCAACCAGCCCAATGTCCAAATTCCAATCCCCGTGAAATCGAAATTCATACATTTCACAAACCTCCTCGCGAGAGCCAATCGCTGTTGGCAAGTCACTGAAAATTTGCCAATGGAAAATTGAGTTACCCTTCATCAAACATTTGAGCTCCAATCCCCAATTATGAGACGCGTGCTTTAAGTAAATAAACACGGCACAACGTATCTAGGCTGCAAATCAAATTCACCTCCATTCAGATGCAGGCTATGCAGTGCGAAGCATTCCGTTAGGTGCAAGCTAGGTATGGCTTGTAAACACGTCCTAAGGCTTTGGAAACACGTCCTTCTGAAGTAGGGTGTGTGCATGGGCCAACAAGGAATTTTGAGTGGAACAAACGAGGTACGTAGATTGTGCTAGCACAAGCGCGCAATGTACTAATAGGTTCTTCCATACGCCAAAGACGTGTCTTCCCGAAGCCCTATTCGGCAGGCTTTCATTACGAGTATGAAATGCACAGAGCCTTTTTCGAGGTCAAGATCCCCAACTTTCTTTTAAATGACAACGAACCTCCCGCAATAATATGTTCTGCTGAACAGCAGAACAAGCAAGCTCAGAATTCGGAGTATGGAAGGGTTTGTGCACATTCGGCTATGGGCAAAACCCAATCGACCAAGAGTGCGTGTGAAATTCCAGGCTCCCAATAAGTAAAAGCTTAGAATACGATGCCCCTCTATACTACAATCGTGAAAGCTACGCTGCTTTAGTTGAGCAAATTCTTGATTTGCCAAACCCGCTGAATCAGCGCTGGAGTTACAGCAGCCTTGTCGCGATATCTGTATTCCGCATCTCGCATTCAAGAACAAGGTCCAACCAAGTGAGTGGCGGTGATAAATCGCATAACGATTCGTACTGAAGGTTGGTACCATGTCAATTGTTGGTTGCCAGGGAAAAGTTCGCCAGCCCCAAGGCCCCTCACAAAAAGGAGCACAGTAGGAATGAAACCGCGTAGAAGAAAACGTAAAACAAACCTCGCTAAGGTAAACGACATGCCACCCACTTGCTTGTAGACACTAGGGTGCGTTCTGTGCTAGGGGCAAGCCTCAAGCAGTTGCAGGATCACATGCGAATAAGGCAAGAACTCCACTATAGCAGTTGCGACCGAACACGGTCTAATGATACGACCCGAACCATCTTGCCTGGTACGTCGGTCTCAAACCTCACGCTGATTGCGCGAACTTAAATCCGACCTTAAGGCCAAACTTCGTTGAAATATTCTAGACAGGAAGCAGGAACTAACAAAACCCTAGCGAATCAGGCCTTGTCGATCGATTTAGGTAAATCTTAGGGCGTATCCGTATGAGTGGATTCCAGTATGAGACCATACAAGAACGAGCGTGATCTCCATATTTATCATAATACACCAATATCAGACTTCGCGACCAAGTGCGTCAATGTGGCACACCGAGTACCGACTGGGCACCCGCATATGTATATTCGCCAACGTA